GGCTGAGATTGGTTGAACATGAGCATGAAAGGAATGATGCTACTGACCTCACCTCCAGTAGGACACATACATTAGGTAATGCTACTGGAGTAGCAATTACTGCACATACACACACTAAATGACGATGCTGCTGTTCAGTTTCTGTGCAGTTTGTGGTGCCAAGTTGCTGGCCAAGTGAAAAGAGTTTTATTTGCAAAAGCTGATTAACCCAACGTCAAAGGGAAGGGAGTGAAGTTTGCCTTTACCTTTGCATGTGTTTTTACCTTATTTCTAGAACATGATGTGCTTAATGTTTTCATAACCATTACCTCCTGCCTCCTTTAAAAACCTGAGCATAACTAGCTGATGCATCTTTAAATTGTTTGATATATTAATTCACAGTAAAGTATAAATCACGCCAAGCACTCTGTTACTCCTCCCCGGAGTAAATATCTCTGGTGCTTATAAAGTATCTATTGACTCAGAAAACAAAGTGAAATTGCACTATCATTAGGTCATAGGTCAGGAGGCGGAGTGTTTTGTGTGCAGACACTGTCCAGTGTCCCTCAGACCACATATGTGTCCTCTGTCCATGTAGGACCTCAGAGCACACCTGGGACTCAGGTTTCCCGTTCTGACCACATCACCTACTGTATTTGGTCTCTAATAAGTAAAACAATCTAGCGAACTTCCATCATCTTGTTACCCTGAAAGCCACGAAGCCACAATCTTCCTCTAATTTTTTGTTTGTTTTAAATGGCTTATTCATACCTCTGAGGTGAAAATCCAAGGTATGGAGAACAATAAACCATACTCTGAACTTAAGAGTCCAATTATTGAAAATTCTGAGGCTTAGCTTCCCCACAGGGCCAAACAATGGAGGCTCACAATGCACTTCTATGGACCATAAAGCAATCCTTCACATGCACCATCACACGGATTTTACTTTGTTCAACGCTGTCTTCCCAGGAACACTGCTCTGCTTAACGTGTTGCGTGCTCATCAAATTTACTGATTACTTCATCAGAGTGTTCTAATCCTACAGCTAAGACAGACACACAATGATACGCGCCCTTCCTCTTTCATACCCGTGAGAATCAGTCACAAGAAGTCACCGCTGACTGACTTACCTTTATTGTCCTGATTCTGCATGAAATGGGTGTGACTCTCTCCAGAGGTATGATGTTATTCAGATCCAGCTGGGAGAAAAAAAAAAGTTACAGTAAATTCACAGAAAATTACCTAGTAAAAGGAGAGGTCTGCTTTCAAGGCATATAGTGATGATCATTATGATTTTTTAAAAATCTTTAAACACAGCTCTCCTCAGGCAAGCTGGTAAGAGTCACTGGGATCATTAAAACTAAAACACAAGGGGAAAATTTTTCCCTCTGTCTAGGGGAGGAAAAGAATTTTCCAGCTTTGAAGGGTAGAAGGCAAACTATTTTTCTTCCCCCACAACCTTCTATGTATCAAAGTTCTGCTTAACAGGTTTGCTTAATGTTTGAACATATTTCTATGTAATAAAATATCTTTTTTAAGTAGGAACTAGATGAGGTAATGAAACTCAAAGTAGACCCACTGCAGAAACAAAAAGATAAAACATTTACAGTACAAACAAAACAGGTTTAAAAACAGACATTTTACTGAAATGCTCAGATACTAGAGACATTTTGATTCTCTTCATATCTGCAAATGGCCTTAGATCTCTGATTCTCTGGGTGTGTAGATGCAACTGAGTCCATTAATTCTTATTTATCATGTGAAAAGATTTTCAGTTACTTTGGAAACAAAAGTAAAGTTAGTACATAGAAATAACTTGCCATTCATAATATCTAATTTGGGGTTCAGGAATAACAATATTATAACTTGGGGGCAGCACGGCTCTTCCAAGTGTGTCCTTCAAAGCGGTGATTCTCAATATGTTTTGTGCAGGGCACCTGTGACAGACACATCCACAAGGTCATGCCTCCCTGTGGCCAAGGTCATGCCCCCCCATGGCCAAGTTCGCTCTGTTCCCCTTCCGAACTAGAATCCACCCTGTATCTCCACCCAAGGAAATGTCAAACATGTAAGTAAGTAACATCATTATTGAATTACTTTAATGTGCTCTAATCATTTTAACAAGTACCGTAAATAACTCACAAATTGATTAACAAATTACTACATGGTATGGTACTGAAATAAAAATCACCAACAAGATTAATTTCGGAAGTCAATTAAAATGAGTGATTTCATATCTTTGAATCCTTGTTTTTACCTTAAAATGGAAATTATTTGTTTTTTGAGATTCTGCTTCTCTCTGCGAAAGCCATTGGTCTGGGTCATCCTGAAGGGATCTTTAGAGCTGGTATTTCTACCTCCATGTTTGCTCTCCAAAGCTATGGCACTGCCTCTAGTTTACTTTTTCATTAACCTTAAAAAGGTCACTTGTCTACGTGCAAATGAAGTAGCTGCCAAGAAACCAGCCGTCTTTTCTATCTTCTGAGGGGCTTTTCTGTGTATCCCTGAGGTCATTAGCCACATTGGGTCAGGGCAACAGTTTCTGCCTGACACTCTGCCTAAACTCTCCTGCCACCAACCCACAAACCCTGTCCTGCAGGCCCTGAATTCCAGTCCCTTCCCCAGCCTCTGCTATCTCCCTTATCTTCCCAGGAATTCCCATAAACAAATCCGAGGGTGAAACCAAAGCCAGAGACGCATTCTGAAGTGTTTTCAGAAAATGGAGTTGGGAAAACCAAGTCCACATCCCCAGTGTCATGCTGCCCTCATGAATGCTGTCTTTGTTCACTGCGGAGGGAAAGGGGTTTCCCATATGGCTTATGATTTCGCACTTTGCTCCCCTGTGAAGAAAGGAGTCTTAAAGAAGAGGAGGGACACAGCAATGTTCTCCCTTGTTCTCTGAACTCCTCTCCCTTTGTGCTGTGCAGGAGGTCCTAGCAAAACCCATCTGACAAAGTGGGTAGGCAGGGGGCGTTGTCCATAGTAGACGAGGCCTCCCAGCGCACCCCCACTCAGTCTGGGGACATTTACTCACATCCAGGAATATAATAGTCTCTGGATCTTTACCCTCATTTTAAACACACACACACACAACCTACCCTCCAAAATAACCTTGAAAACGTATTCACATGTTCACTCATTCACACTTTCAGATAATGGCCACCGAGAACCCCCAATGGGTCAGGTCCTGCTGGAGGCCTAGCAGCTCACAGAGAAAGCCCAGCCCTCGTCAGATTGACATTCTGGTGAACGGCAGCAGATAATACATAAGTAACTGCACAGTCCTTAGGCTGTGAGGTGCCAAGAAGAACAAGGAAGCAGGGACAGAGGGTAGGGAGCTCTGGGGTGGGAGCAATCACAGGTTTTTTTTGTTTTGTTTTGTTTTGTTTTGTGTGTTTTTTTACCTTGTTTGAAACTAGCCACAGACTGTAGGCACTGTGAGGCCAGCTTCACTATTACTTTTCCTCCTCTACGACCACCACAATCGCAGGTTTTAAAGGGGTGGCCAGAGAAGGCCTCACGGATAAGGTGGTATTTGAGGGGCAGAAAAGCTAAGAGCGAGGGAGTCACGTGTGTACACGTCTAGACAGAAGGTTCTAGGGTAGAGAAGCCGAGAGTGGAGCAGGCCTGGGTGCTAGCAGCAGCCTGCTGGGATGTGAAGACTGATAACATGCCCCCTTCCAGCAACACACATGCAACACGGAGCCTCGGGCCAAAGGATTGTAACGTGAGTCAGTGGGAGGGAGAGGCATTCTGATGGGACATCAAGGCCTTGTGGAGGTTTCTGATAAGACTGCCAGCATGGCTATGGTCTTATCACCTTTGAAAACCAGCATGATGTGTTTTGGAAAAAAATCTCTTAAACTGTGCTCAGCACTCTGCTCAGGTCCAAGAACAAAAGCTCTGCTTTCCTTGCTGGGCCAAATCCGATTCTGCAACTGCAGGATCTTCTTCTCCCCTGTCCCATGAACCAAGTCAACAATGTCCTTTAGGGATTTTGATTCAGGGACTTCGCCTCCCAGCAGCCGGCTGTCATACACTGACTCACAGGGGGCCCGAGGGGACGGGCTCAGACACACAGGGTGACTCACCGCCTGCCTCCGGCTCCCTCACTCTCTCAGGGCGTCGGCCTCTGTGGCTGTGCTCTCAGCCTGATGTTGCCCCCAAAGTGCGCTCAGAAGGTGCTGGCGTCTGTGTTAGACCATGGGGCTCGCTGTCTGCTGGGCTCTCGGTCCTACTCTGTACATTCCAGCTCAGGACAGCACAAAGTTTTTCCCACCCTGTTATTACCAGAGGCCACCCTTCTCCGGGTTACAGAGAAGACCAACCCTCTCCCATTTCCCCACCTGATCCCACCCGATGGGATACAGTCTCCTCAGCCGGCCCCTGAACTCCTCCACCTTTGCCCTGTCTGTCTCTCCTGCTGCCCTCGACGCCCTGTACATCCTGGGTGACACCTCTCACCTGTCAGCCAGGCCACTCTGCAGCCCTGACTCACACCCACCATCTGCTATTCTGCTCCTGCTCCTGCTGCAGTGTGGTTGGAGAAAACACACACATAAAACCAGCACAGGCACACGTTTGTGGGCACCTGTGCTTGTACACACGCGCACATAATCCCAAACCTACACTGTCTGACCAGAGCCACGATTAACTCATCCACAGTGGATATTCCAGACACCTTTCCCTACAATTGGTTTCAGCAAGTTTTTATTGATTGTCTACTATGTGCTGGATACAATGGGTTGGGCCCACTATGAATGTGCTATGACCTCTGCTTTCAAAGTAGTAACAATCCTGAGAACGAGGGGTGGGTGGGGTAGCGGACGTGGATGAAATCACCACAGCCCCAGAGCGACTGTTAGAGGCAGGTGTATGAGTCACAGTGAGCAGAGTCACCGAGGGGAAGGAATGGAGGGAAAGGGAAGTCATTGATACGGAGAGTATGGGCAAAGGAGGGCTGAGGATGATTCTCAGGTTCTTGGCCCGTTGGCCAAATTGACAAGGCAGAGGAGGAAGTAGGAAGAGTGGACTGGAGCAGTGCAGAGGGGCGGGGAAATCTTTTGGTCGGTATGCTGAGCTTGATAGCCCTGGGAATTGGGTAGGGCCATTTGAGGCCCCTATGAAATATCCAAATGGCAGTGCCCCCTGTTCGGGGCTTGGGAGAGGAAGCTGTGAGAGATCTGCACAATGCGAGTGGCTACAGATTCATGCTTAGTGCCAAGGAGGAAAGAAAGAACTCAAAAGGCATAAGCATTTAACAGGTAGGCAGAGAATAAGAAATGAATTGAGAAAGAACAGCCAGAAAAATAGAAAATTAGGTGATTGTTTCTGCCACCTAAATTGATCTGCAATGGTCTTCTTCTCAATTCAAACTACTTCTAGGCTTTTCTACTTAGATATTGCTCTATCTCAAAAAATTCCATTTTCACACACACACACACACACATACACACACAAGCTTTCGCTTCTGGCTTCCCTTCACACACACACACACACACACACACACACACAAGCTTTCGCTTCTGGCTTCCCTCTGTGTCAATAGGATGAAAACCATGCTTTTGTTACGGATAAATCTGAAACCCCCGACTCTTCACCAACAGTGTCTACGCTCTGAGTTACTTTGTCCTGACAGGCCCAATGTCTCCTTCACAATTATTCTTTTAAGAATCAGCTCATTGCACACACACTTTAAAAAGAGATTTCTCTAACTCATGGTTCAAAGTGTGGCTAGAGACTCCCTTCTCTATGATCACATTACACCCTGCATATATTTCTACCACTGCACTTATAATAGTTTATAGTAGTTACAGTTATATTATTTCATAATATAAGATCTATTTCATAAAGATCTATTTTTGTTTCTTTGAATGAAGAAACATTTATGTTTGCATCTCCAACAAAATTAAATGCTCAATGAACAGGAACAAACTAAACATTGAAAGGCACGAAAGAGGAGATGGCTACTGCACTGGATCTGGCAAAGTGGCAAAATCAGAACCCGGGAGAGAAAGGGACGGAGCCTGGGGGAGGGGAGATGAAGGCACCTCCGACCACAGAAGGAACTCTGCCATTTGGGCCAAATTTTCTAGTAGCAAATCAACCCTTTATACCTTTATGGGCTCTTCCATTACTCCAACACCAATAGTTAACCTTTCTTAGAAGTTTCCTCATCTGTTGCTGATGCTAGTATTTC